TACTTAAATTAGATTGCAGTTATTTTTGCACAACATAAAAATAACTGAAGATTACAAATTGTGCAAAAAGCCCTCAACATCAGCCCTAATATCAATTTTGTACAAAAAGATTTAAAGCTGCAGCAGGTAACTTCCACAAAAATAACTTCTTGTCATTATTGCTTCACCGTGCTCTGACAGCAGTACATGAGACAGTCAATCCCCGAAAGAAATCAGCCCCTCCGGCTGTTCCAGCACTCCCAACGGCACCTGTGAGAAGCCACTGATGAATAACTCTCACAGACAGCTGAGACAGAAGTTCACCGGGACTGCCAATGGCATTACTCCAGTGTCAAAATAGTAGTGGAGAGTTGTGCCGTGGGTACGCTGTGGCCTGACGTGCACCTCCCCAGAAATGTAACTACACGCCGCTGTGACACAGACCGCAACAACTGATTGGTCCTTTGTGCTGACTGACTCCAAGACCAAAAACTTAGCCTGAGGACGTTTGGTGAATACGGCCCCTGATGTCAAGTATTTTCATTTAGACTTTTGAAACATTTCCTGTCAGACTGCATTTCTTCTGCAGTGGAAATATTTCAGAGTGACATTTGTTTGGCCAGTCACCCACAGGAAAAATACAAATTCACCCACAGAAAAAAAAAAAGCACATGCAATGTACTTTTTCCATCACCAGCAGGATGCACACGTAGCTCAACCAGAAAACAACAAATCCCCATGATGAACTTTATAAGAACACACACTAACCTCTTGAGTGTCAGCGAGCACCAGGATGATGTCTCCCTGTTCGAACTGGAGCAGGCCGTCTTCAGACGCTGCGTGGCTCTGCAACGCCACCCCCTGGTGTAAAACACAGGTCACATTAATGCAAGCTTAATACTGAGCATCACACGTTACATCGATGTCAGCTAAAACACTGAAAACATTTTCCAAGTTTGGAGATTTCTTCCAACTCCACAGTTGAGGTGTTTTGTCTGTGGTGCTCACAGATTTGAAAAATGACATTTCAATTTTCAACAGTAGTTGTTTAAATATGTGGAAGATATTTTAGAAGCTTGACAAATGAAACCAAATGTGTCTACACAGCTAGATATCACTAGAGCTAAGTGAGAAAATATTTTCTTCCTTTAAATGTCAAACTCTAAAAATACCACTGCGTAATAGTCAACAGTGTTTCACTGTCTCAGTTTTCTTCACTTTATATTTTTTAAGCAAAAGGGAAATTTGATATCTGTATGTTAATAATGCATTAGTGGTCAGACTCACAGAGTATGTTATCTTTACCGATAATTTGACCGCTATGTTCAGTCTTCAGATTTTACACATCAAAGTCTGTTTATAGGTCTTGGGGAGTACTACTGTATATGTGAAATTTTTTTTGGTATAAAGCTAACTCATGTCACTTGAGTCAGCGTCGATTGGGGCTGTAGACTACAAGTTTGAAAATGTGGTGTTAGAAAGAGGTGAGACCTCTGTAGCCCACTCCTTATCTCTGCTTGAGGCTAGCAGCTAAGGCTACATTAGCTGCTACTGACTTAACACGCCCAAATCTCTGACCAAACTGTCTGTAGTTCAGTTGCATTGGGTTGCATTGTGGGTAAGGCAGGCACCAGGTTTAGACAAGGAAGATGAATGCTTTGAATACAAAAAGACTCAGTCTGGTTCTCCTGCATAGATTTTGATTCCTTCTTTCTAATCTGTTGTGAGTTAACCTACAGGGTGTGAAGCTACATTGGTGGCAAATAAACGTATTCACTAAAATAGTAGTATTTGTTAAATCATATTAGTGTACCTTGTAAAGGAAGCCTGGTGGATCGTAGGAACTGGACTCATTATCTGAGTCGACTGTCTCCTGGTTGGCTGATGCTTCTTCCGTCTCCTCCTGCTCCTTCGCGGTTAAGAGGGGGCTTTTATCTGTGGAGCGGAAGGAGACGCGGGGGGCGGGAACCGGTGGTGGTTTGGACTGGGCCTCCTCTGATGGTGGATCACTCACATTCTCCTGCTCTGGACTCTGTGGGGAGTCGCTATCTGCAGAATCAGAGGGATTGGACACTTCCTGACTTGCAGCCTCCGACTTTGGCACTCCCACCCCGGAGTCATCCGACTGGTTCGTGGCCAGTTCTGCTTCTGCTTCCGCCGCTACCTCTGCTTCCTCTGGACTTTGACTCCTTGTGCTCCTTTCACTGCTCTCATTGTCACACACCGACTGCCTCTTCGGTGTGTTTGTGCCGCTGGAGCTGAGATCGGAGTCCGACGAGTTGACATCTTTGGACGAGACACCACTCTCTTCTGGAAGGCTGGTTTCTTCGGAGATGCTTTCAGTTCGTTGGAGAGGGGGAGAGGGGGCGGTGTCTTTTCCGTTTTCGGTGGAAGAATGGATGGAGACGTGGTCGGCTGGGAAAGCTGTATTGCAAGGGATGGGATTGGAGATGACCAGGGACTTTCTCTTCTTTGACTTGCTTGACGAGCTATTTGAAGAAGTACATTTGTTATTTGCGGACTTTGCATTCAGCATTTTACTCATCTAGCTAGCTTTTACTCTGTGTTTTGAACAGAAATGGCAGATAAGAAGCATACCTAATGCTGCCTATCTACTTACTAGATAAGATATAACCATAGATGAGGAAAAATCTAGCACCTTACCTGTTCAGACCCTTGATGATGAAAGCTTTTCCCGAGTGTTGAGTCTCCAGTTTCTTCATCACATTGTACAGCTCACGGTTCAGCTGCAACAAGAGTGCAAGAGTTTTAATGCTACCATTAAATATTATTACACTATAAGTGTGAGGAAATGGAAAGGATGGATTGCATATCTTACCACACTCATTTCCTTATAGAAGACATCTCTCAGGTTTGATATGTTTTGGAACACCGTCACATAGCAACCTATTCGGCTACAAAGACAAAGACAGCTCTCAGTTTGTCTTTCAGTTTGCCATCCACATAACTGAATTTGACTTGCAGTTGATTCAAGGTCATGTTGTCCTATGCACATTCTGGAAAATGTCTGCATTGCCTTGGACTAATTCAGTCAGTTATGTTAATGGCCTAGAACGCACTTTTACACATATGTCAAGAATTAAAAAAAAAATAAAAATAAAAAGGTCCAGTGTGTAACATTTATTGGCAGAAATGGAATATAATATTCATAGGTATGTTTTCAGTGTATAACCACTTGAAAATAAGAATCGTTGTGTTTATCTTAGAAGCAGGTCTTCTTGAGGCCCACGTTTCTACAGTAGCCCAGAACGGACAAACCGAACACTGGATCTAGATAGGGTCCTGTTGGGATTTGGGAGTTTCGCAACTACTGTAGTCTTTCCTTCACGCTTGGAAGGCTGAGCTGAGCACCTTCAGCCACAGACTAGTCCAGCCCCGTTCCTCAAAGCGTGTGGGAGGCTCATCTGTGCCATCTGTCATCAGACTCCACAACAGCCAGTACCTCCTACCTCAACTGAATGAGACGCTTTTCTGCACAATACTTCAGAAACATTGCACATGTATAGATATACACAGGCTTACAATATTCTAACTTATTGTATATATTTTATTTTTTATTGTATTTCATTCTCTTGCTTTACTCTTTGCACTACATTCCCCTGTACTGCTGTGCCAATTGGAATTTCCCCTACAGGGGGATAAATAAAGGAACATCTTATTGTATCTCATCTCTTCTCTTGTCTTCTCTTCTGGGAAGGCTTTCCATGAGATTGTGGCAACTAGGTTGCAGGGATTTATTCCAATTCAGCCAAAAGAGCATCGGGGTGGTTGGGCACTGATGTTCGATGTAGTCTGGATAACATTCACCAGCTCTACCAGGTGGGCTTTTTAGGACCATAATGAATGCATTTAAGACATATTTTACATCCAAACTGGCCAAAAATGTACAAAGAATATAAAGAACATTTTGTGTTGGTCTATCGGTTTGGTTTTGTCAAATGTTTTCTCAAAACACATTTAAAATCGAAACTGAAAAATGCAATTTTATAAAAGTAACATTAATTTCAAATAGATTTTTCAGACCCGTCTGTTTCATATTTAAGAGGACATTTTAAGGCCCAGAATTCAGATTACTTTAAGACCCCACGGATACCCTGGATGAGGGCTCTGTGCAGGCAAGTCAACTTCTTTTACACCAACCTTAGAAAACTCTGATTTTGTAACACATTACTGTCTAAACTGTATGTTGTAGAAAATTGGAATTGGAACCACATTTTACAAGTGTCCCCATACATATAGAATAGCTTGTTTTAGGCCTACTGTCAGCGCTGCAGCTTCTGGGTCTCCCTCGCTGCCAAGTCACTTTACGACTCCTCAGTTAACATATAATTCTAGCGTGAGCTCAGAACATACTTTGAGGCTGTCCAGTATGTAGCGCTCTCCCTGACTGGTGGAGGAAAACACATTGAGCAGCGTGCGGTCTGCGATCTCTCCTGGCTGCTTCATTCGGGCCGGAGCACACTGCAGGGAACACACAACAGTGGGCGGGAAACTGTTACACAAAACACATCATACAGATCTTCACAGAGCTGAGCACCATTCTACATGTAATCACCAACATACACACCTGAGAGAGAGACAGAGAGACCAGCTGACAGACAGAGAGAAAGGCAGACAGACAGAGGGGTTTATTGACAGAATAAAGAGTAATGAAGTGATGTGCCCTTAAGGACACAGCGATTTCCCATTGGATGCAGGGTTTTGGTCTTTCGGGCTGACATTTAATAAAAAGGAGTCAGAACAAACAAAATTACTGTGAGTGAGTGGAGGAGAAAGCCAGAATGCTTCAGGGAGACTGGATGCTGCAGCAGTCCTGTCAGACTGAATGAGGTGTCGGCAAGGGGAGGGGATGGTGGGAAAAAGATGAAAAGTCGGACAGACCAGAAAGGGAAGCACTGCAATAACTGTCTATATGAAAAAAGGACCCTGTGTAACACATTCTGCTACATTCATGTACTCCCTAAACGATGAATTCTTTAAATTTTCGGACTATTCTGAAGTATTCATGAATTTCCATAACCTGTAGGATCTGTGTTTGTTCTTCCTCCCGCTCCATGACAACAAATATAGCCCTCCTCTCTCCATTCCCGTAGCCCAGAGACCCTGACGTACTTTTCAAACAGATCCCATCGTGACGCCTCACCTTAGGTAGTTTGCTGCGGTGCAGGAATTTGGGCACATTGTCTCTCCCAGAGTTTGGCGAGATCACCTCCCGGATCTCTATGGTGTCATCAGCCAGGAAGTAGTGCAGAACGAGCTCCCGGGGGTCTCCGAACACGCTGTCTTTGTCGTCCCAGAAGCAGTAGAAGCGCAGGACTTTGCGGTCATGGTCCAGGAACTGCTTCAGTGTGTCACGCCTCTCGTAAGGCCGGAGTGGTTTCATGCTTTTCTCGATCTGGATGAGGGACCATGTGAGATAATACACATGCATAAGAGACTTCAAATGATTTCTTCAGGGGGAGGTCTTAGTGTTTTTTAATTAGGCATTGGTACCATCAGCAGGGTTGATTGGTTGATCAAAGATAATTATTAAAATGCTGGTTCCAGGGCTTTGAATTTGAGGATGCAGAATTATTTTAGTTTTACATTGTTGTAAATTTAATACTCTTTTTATACGATTTCCTCAAGATGAGTAGCTTTAAAAAATCAGTTTGAATGGCGTATGTTAATATTAAACAATATTTTGATTTAAAGCTGCTGTAGGTAACTTTTATAAAAATAACTTTTTGTCATATTTGCTTAAACTTTTACTATATCCTGACAGTAGTACATGAGAC